AAATAAATTATTTAAAAAAAAAAATATTGGGCCAATTCAAGATGTAATATTCTCATGAGACTTGTTGATTTCTTATAAACTGTTAAAACCACCCATTGCTTGAGTAGTAATTCCTACGTGATCATAATATAAGAGCATTGTTTATATCACAGAATCTCTCAAGCTAGAAGTCTTTAGAGACCAGATTCTAGAAGTCAACTATTTTTCATAAATTGATAATAAAACTTATGTTTTTAAGTTCTAGAACCTTATACTTTAAAATTTGTATTCAGTGGATTTTTTTATTTGTGGGTTTTTGTGTATTTGTTCGTTTGTTTGTTTGTTTGTTTAGATAGGGTCTTGCTGTATGGTTCTGGCTGGCCTCAAAAACAATGATCCTCATGTCTCAGTTCCTGTAATTACAGGCATGTGCCACCACGCCAGGCTTATTCAGTATTTTTTTGAGTCCTGGTAATCTTGTTTTGTTTTGCTGTGTCTTAGGTTAAGTCTTCTTAGGTATAATGCCAACTTGACAAAAATGAAGAACACTTTGATTTCAGCATCACAGCAACTGAAAGCTAAATTGGAATTTTTTCACAAAAGCATTCAGCTTGACCTGGAGAGATACAGTGAGCAGATGACTTATGGTATATGTAAGTGTCTGGGTGTGTTACTGTATTTGTTAAGAATGTCTAGTCTTCAAGCCATCTGTTCACATACCCTCTTGACATAGCCACAGTTGTTACTTTATATTAGAATAAGAAGCAGAACAGCTTAGGTCATCATGAGCCATGTTTGTTTTCAATGCTAGCTCTTTTATTTTACTCTCTCCTGAATAACTCACTTTAAAATTTTTTTTCCATAATTTTATTGAGAAACAAATAGCAATGAGACAGGGGGCTGGCGAGATGGCTCAGTGGTCTAAAGCACCTACTTGGAACAAGCTTGGGAAAGCACAGGGACCGTGGCTCAATCCCCCAGCACCACATGCCAGCCAGCCCGCCCCCTGGTGGGCTGAGCTGGCCACACACACACACACACACACACAATAAATAAATAAATAAATTAAAAAAAAATGAGACAGTTTCAAACCAAATTGGTAGGACAGTTTCAGTAATTAACACATTGCATACATTTTTCCTAGACTCACTTTAAAATTTGAATAAAATTTAGTTCTTGAAAAGCTGAGTTCTACAGTTTTTTTCTAAGAATCAGTGAATTTAAAATCTTGTTTTAAAAATAAAAAAGATTATACTGGAGTGGCTTCTTAGCCAGTGCTGTAAATTAAATATTTGTTTGCCTCCAAAATTCATGTTGAAATCCTGACCCCGAAGATAATGATATTTGAAGGTAGAGTTATTGGGAGGTGACTAGTTCATGAATGTGAAGCATTTGGGTGTGAAATTAGTACCCTATAACAGAGGGCTGGATCAGATCCCCACACCCTTCTGCCACATGAGGGAACAATATACAGCCCACCGTCTGTGAACCCAAAGTCAAGCTCTTGCCAGACAGTGAATTTGCCAGAGCTTTGATCTTGGATTTCCTAGCTTTCAGAACTGTGTAAAATAAATTCCCGTTGTTTATGTGCTACCCAGTGTAGAGTTTTTTGGGGGTTGGTTTTTTTTTTTTTTTTTATTTTAGGGAACGGTCTACGGGGTGTTCAGGGTCTCACTACTAGATCAGACTCGTAGTGATCCACCTGTTTACAGCATCCCAAGAGCTGGGATGACAGGCATGTGCCACCATGCCCAATCTCAATCACTGTCTCAGCTCGCCCCTAGGGGCAGGGCCAGCACAACAGCCCATGGGTATCGAACCCTGGCCCTGCTGAGCTATTTGGCCAGCCCTGAGTTTTTGTTTTTAATGTAGAGCTCCAGCGCACTAACATAGCTAGGAAATGGTTAGACTACTTATTTTTCTGGGAAATAATGCAGGTAATTCCAAGGTTTTGTGTATTTCCAAACCACATACTGTGAACTCTTACTGTTATCCTGCACATAGTTTCCAGATTTTCATTATTTGACTCCAAGTTTGATACACTTCAGACATACTAAGGAATTGGAAAAAGACAGCTAAAATTTGAATAAACTTGAAGGATCACTGCCAGCATTTGTGATTTGTTTCACAAAACTAATTGTTTTTCTAGGGGGGAAAAAATCTTTTTGTCACGTGGCCTCAGAATAAATGATCCAAAGTGTCTAATAATGAATGCATTTGCTCTCCAGAACAAGTGCTGTGATTGATGTTTTATTTGTGTTTTATTGTGTTTGATAGGCCTTCTGGTGAATCACAAAACAGTAAAGTTGTTTTGTTAAAATATCTTTGACTTGTCAAAGGTGTTCTATACAATTGTAAAGACTGAGGTATTAAAAGATCACGTTGGTCTTTGATTTGTAAGTTGTGGAAAAAGCAAAGAAGTGTGTGTTCTGTAGCATGTGAGGGAATAAGGGGTAGGTCTAGTAATAAAAATAGTGAATTCTCTTGGGCTATAGAATAGAGGAAAAAATGTCTTTTCATATCTGTCAATAGTGTTTGGATTTTTAAAACACGTTCATATATTACTTTTTAAAAATATTTTTAAAAGAGGAAGCCACCTGTGTTGCTTTCATAGCAACTAAAATTTATTGTCTTTAACAGTTCTGGAGGCTAAAGATCCAAAATTAAAGTGCTCACGGACATATGGTCCCTCTGAAACCTGTGGGAAGATTCCTTCTTTGTTTTTTCCTAATTTTCTCTGGTTTTCCAATAGTCCTTAGTGTTCCTTGGCTTGGAGCTGCGGCACAGCAGTCTGTGCTTCTGTCGTCAAATTTCAGTCTTTACTTGTGTATCTATATCTCTACTTGTGTATCTGTATCTGTCTTTTCTTGGGAAAGTAGTGATCATCATGGACTGAGGGCCCACCCTTCTCCAATGTGAGTATATATTTAGCTGATTCTGTCTGTAAAGACCATTTCTAATAAGATGACATTCTAAGGTCTTAGAAGTTACCACATCAACATATTTGGGGACGGGATCATACTTTAACTCATAGCATCTTTGGTATTAATACAACAGGTAGGCAGGCCAGTGATTTAACCTATTGCAATTTCTGGGATAACCAACTTAGACTTTTGTTTTAGCTTCAGAAAAAATGCTAAAAGCTTGGAAAGAAATGGAAGAAAAGGCCATCCACTATGCTGAGGTAAAATCTCTGGGCGTATTTTGGGTGCTTATTAATTCTTGAAGTCTCCCACTGACTTCGGGTTTGATAAGGAATGTCTGTTACATCATCTGTGGGCCAGGGAGATAGTAGAATAAGCACTTGCCTGTTAAGTGCAAGGGCCTGAGTTCAATCCCTGGTTCTGCCCCCCCCCCCAATGACTTTGCTCCTGTTACATCATCTATGAATTTCAGACAGATGTTTGATAGATGCTTTATATAAAGGAAAAGTGTCGTGGTGAATAAAAACATGGGCATTGGGCAAATGACTTAGCCTCACTAAGCTTCAGTTTCCATAGTATAGGGACAATACCTTTTCTAGTAGGGTTATGAAGATTAAATAAGAATCAGTGATAAATGTAGGTCTACAATTTTTGTGACTGGTTTGGGTAGGCTAGCTGTATATCCTGGTTACCTAGGACAGTCCCAGTTTATCTGCAGTATTTTTTTTTCACTCTCAAAATTGTACTGGTACAGACAATAAATTATGTGAGTCCCCTAGGGATGGACAGACTATTTTTAAGTACGGGGTTCTTCCTTTATCCTGTACTGCTTGCTCTCCATGGTTCTGGATTATTGTTCTCCTTGGGCCAGCCTGAGAATATAAGTAGAGCAGCTGGTACTGAGATGTAAGTCATACCACTGGTTTTGGTGCCCGTGTATTTTGTCTTGTTGGTGATATTTCTACAAACATCATGATTCTCCAGAAAAAGAAAAAAAGCAAATATAGTAGTATATTGTTGTCAGGAAAGAAAAGAGGATAGTGCAGGAATAACTATGTTCTTGTGTGAAAGATTCTCAGAATCTAAAAGATAAAAAGGACTTAATAAAATTAGTGTTTCGTGTTAAATTAGTTTTCCTACAGCAGACCATTCTCTAACCTTATAGTCTGAGTTTTGTTTTGTATAAGGTGGCAGTAAGCCTGTCATTTTCTTTGTGTTTTCATCATTCTTTAGGTTGGTGTCATTGGATACCTTGAAGATCAGATTATGTCTTTGCACACTGAAATCATGGAGCTACAGAAGAGCCCCTATGGGAGACGGCAGGGGGACTTGATGGAATCTCTGTAAGGATATCTTTATACTGTTGTTGGTAATGTCTAGAACTTTTGTAGCATTGTTTTTTCTGCTTACATCTAGCAACTTTGAACTCACTATGTAGTCTAGTCTGGCCTCAAACTTTCAGCTATTCTCCTGCCTCAACCTCCTGAGTGCTAGGGTCACAGGCATGGGCCATCATGGCCAGCTATGTGGTTGTTTGCTATAGTTTTCTTTTCCCCAGTTATATTCACTTCATATTTTAAAAAGAAACTATTCCCACCCAACTATATAAAGCAAATCTTAATGGACATGAAAAATCTAATATCCAATATCACAATTTTAACAGGAGACCTTAACACACCCTTATCTCCAAAAGATAGGTCAACCAGACAAAAACTTAGCAAAGAA